ATATATATATATGTAAAAGTTAAACCCTAAATGTTGAAGTGCGCATTTAGGTATTTTGAAATGGAATGCAGCCTTTGCTGTTGGCGCTTGGCTCATATTATGACATCATCATCCTGAGACAACAGCAACCGCTAGCATACTAATGCAGCTAAGTCTTCCCCACAAGATAACAAACTTGCAGATGCGGTCAGTGTTTGAGCTGCACTTCAAATTACTGGACCACACGTACCACCCATGTTGGTTTTTATGAACACATTTTGAATTTAGATTTTAAATATTATCTTTAGCAATGTTAGAAGCGTTAGCAGAAGCTAATGTCAGATAGCCAGGATGATGTCATCATGCTCTGACAAACATCAACAGTGGCTGTGGCTACCCAGTCCATCCGGGTAGCACGATCCTTACTGTCAGCTCATTTGCACATGCGGTAAATGATAGACTTCTGGAATGTGCTCAATTTAGGAAAAAATACTGAAAATATTTATTTCTATACTTAATTATAAAGGTGTGTTACATTATATTCTAAAAAGTGTTTTAATCTTGAAAATATTTTGATTAATAAAGTACAGATTTACGATGCATACATATTTATTTATAACTTGCTAATTATTTTCTAGACAATTATAACTCATCTTATCTTCGTTTTATTTTTTTCTTGGAATAAAAATCCACAGCTGTTGCAAACGTTGCCTTTTCTATAAAACATTGCAGGTGATGAAAGACTGAAATCTAATTAATTCTGTCATCAGTCTAGCGAAATGCTACATGCTAAAAACAATGCTTCTGGTACAGTATGGATCGTGCTACTGGTACGGATTGGGCAGCCACAGTGGCCACTGCTAGCCACTTTTACATTTAGATTTAAAATTCAATATTTATATTTTTAACAGTAAAAAATAGCTAAATATAAAGAACTATAAGCTAAATAACAATAAAATGTTAGTGGAAATTTTTTAACACTCAAAAAGCGAGCTAAATAATGAAAAATGTGACATTTTTGACATTTCATTTTACACTTGGCGCCCCAGGAGGAAGTGTATAAAGTTTACGGCTGCAGCAGCCAGTTACCTGCACTCTATAGCCTTCGGTGGCAAAATGTACGGGAAAAGCATCTCAGTCAGCTTTCTGAGGTAAAGAAGCTCATCTCTGCGGCTACGAAGGGCCACGTGGAGATCAGGACCATACTCCTCCAGGGCAGTTTGTTGAAGATACTCTGTGTTTTTTACTGCTCAGAGGAGGAAGTTTAAAAAAAAAATAAGCCAGTTTTTTAAAATCTACAATGAACTAAGACTGCTGCAATTCACTGTACCTTTTTGCCTTGCTTTGCTAATAATTTCAATATGTTTCAAGGAAACTTTGAGAAGCTTTTTTGTGATGAGTGAAGCAACATCCACCTGAGAGTGAGGGGGAAAAAAACATAAATAAAACTGTAAAATGTTTGGCGAACAGGCATCCTAAGCCCTTTATTCTCATAACCAGCACCTTTTGTGTTCGGCGAACCAACACAGCCGCAAAGAAACGTAGAGTCACTCTCAGCTCGTCAACAAACGCTTCGTCGTCTGTGATGTCTCTGAAAGGAAAACATCTCACCATTTTTAATCAGTCATTGCCGAGTGTTACAACAAAATATAGGAGGTTATTTAGCAAAATTTAATAAAAATGCCTCACCTGTACCACGGATGTACAAAATTTTCCAAAACAAGCTCCAGGATCTATTTAAACATAAAAAAGGTGTCATTTCTTGGCAGTTTTGTGGATTTGTTTGTTAGTTTGCTTGTTTTTACGCATTACCTCTGAAAGTGAGGCGTCCACCTTGGAGGGAACTTTCAGATCGAGCCATGGCTGATAGTTTTCCAGTAACAAAGTGGGTCTGGCCAACAGAAAAATCACCAGATTTATTTTCTAAGGAGAGCAGCATTAAAATCCTGTGTGACCCACTGACTCTAGTGTACAATTGTACATAACCCACATTTTACTATACGTTTGCTCTGGGCTGGCCCACAGCATGGGCAGTATAGGCAAAAGCTAAGGGCATAATCCATGTAGGGAGCACCAAAAATGGGGGATGGAAAATAAAACAATTTATAATTTTATCAGTGTACAATTGAAATAATCTGTAGAATAATTACTTGTTGCTCACGTTACAAATGTAATTTGGTCTGTGGGTTTCTCAGCCTGCTTTGTTACTACGTAAGGTGTTTTATGGTGCAGAAGATGCTTCAAGAGAAAAGTATCATACTGCATACGACTGGTGCTCAGTGTGTAAACAGAAAACCAAATGTTAATGTTTTATAAATCCCAAGAATTTAGTAAAATGCTCTTCAACTGGCTGGAAAATGCAGAGTTGTGCGTAGATCTTTCACAAAATGCTCTGCGGGAGTACACGCCCCCCACCCCCAGAACTGCTTCACTCCACAGCTGCTCGTTTAAATAAACAGGTGTTCCTTGTTGCTGTCAGCAGATGCTGGCAGGCATGAAGTAGACTTATGTTTCAATTTAATTATATTAATTATATTAATTGGGGGGGGGCTGTGGCAGAGTGGTTAGGGGAGTCGTCCTAGCATAGTGGTGGTGTTCAGAGGGCCCTGTGGCGCCAGTTATAGGCAGCCCCGCCTCTGTTAGTCTAGTCTGCCTCAGGGCAGCTGTGGCTACAATGTAGCTTACCATCATCAGTGCAAATGTGTGTATGAATTATTGGAGAGTAAATCACTTGATCAAACCAATCATCATTTAATTTGAACCTGGTTTCTAAAGACAAAGAAATAATAAAAAAAAGACAAAACTATTTAATCTGGTATGTGAAATTATGTCAGCTGGCAGTGAGATTTAGAAAATTGCACAAGGGGCACCACCTAAAATCTTGCCTTGGGTGCCAAATTGGCCAGGGCCAGCCCTGCGTTTGCTTCAAAATCAAGCAGTTTTCTTTTTATTTTTACTCCATACATGCAGTAGCACTGTACATAGCATAGTAACAAATATCCACAGTCTGCTGGCACTATGTTGGTACAAATAATATTCCCATAGCAATGATCTCTTACCTGTGTCGTTTGCATTTAATCTTCCCACAAACAGCACAGCTCTGGCCTTGTGGAAACAGCTCCTGCTGGAATGACTGAAAGGGAAACAAATAAAGCAAATTAACTTCAATCTGGGTTTTAATAAAACTTCTGCAGCTCCACAGGCTGATCACCTCTGTGCCACACAGCATTAACAAAGTAATTCATACAGGATTTAAAACATAGACTGTACAGGACATGGACTTACTTTTTAGTAAGCCGACATTTCTTTTTATGTAAAGTTAATATGTCTTATTTAATATTCTAATTATCTGTGAAAGTTAATGTTAAGTTTTCAGGAACGGTAAGCTATTGTAAAATATAATAAGACACATTGATAAGATTCTGGAGATGCCCTCATTAGAATGATCCAGTGCAATGCTTATCTGTTCACAGTTCAATGTTAGGTCATGCTGCCCTCTGATACTGGTGATGTTATAATTTAACAAAAAAAAACTTTTGTTCAAATGAGCACGCTGTCAGACAGAATCTACCGCTTGGATTTGTCTTATCCCTGGAATGCTCTGCAAGACGTTTCTTTCGTAAGAAATCGTTAAAAATCAACAAGCTGTGTCTTCCTGTCTCACTTTTCTTTTTGCCACATCAGCTATAATCATCAAATGCTTAAAATAAACCACTCTGTGTGTAATATTTTAACGTTTTGACTCTAAATGCTAAAAATAAATAAACTTGTTGGTGATCTGTGTTATACTCTGACCGGATTTAAAGTTGAGACCCACCTTAGTTTTTGCTTTTATGGTGACTAAGAAGTTGGGCAGTAGAGACTCAGGTCCTAATGAACAATAAAAAGTGACGACTCCAGCCAGGAAGGACCAAAACACCATAATAATGTGAATATACCTGCAATAAAATACGTTACATAATATGTATAAATATAAATGAGTTAACATGTAATGATTAAAGGAATGTTAAGAGTTTAACTTGCCGATTTAAAAGCACAGTGGACAGAAACAGGAGCAGCAGGAGGAAACAGAAGACRGGGTACTGTCGGCCCAGTTCTCTGACCCGGTCCAGCTTCACCCTTCGTCTCATCAGCTGGAGATGACCTCTGACGCACACCATCATTGGCTGTCAAAGTTAGCCTACTTCAGATCACTGATGAAAACAAAAACAAACAACAACAAAAAAGCACATAAACACAAGAAGCAGCTGTAAGCTTTTTGTTAATTAACAGCACGTTGTTCGTGCAAAAATGATGGAGTTTATCTTACTGCTAATTTATAGTCGATATTGTTGATTTCATCACTGAAGTCCGTTAGCGACACCATCATAAGACGACAAAGGCGTTCAGAGAGGCGTGGTGAGCGCGTCCAGCTGTTCGGAGGATTAGCGGTAATCACACAGCAGCATCGGTCGTTAAAAAAAAACAAAAAAAAAAAACACGTTGTTGTTTAGCTAATGGCCGCGGTGCTCTCTTGCTGTCATCTCTGTCCACAGAGGGGGCAAAGATTTCTGCTGCCTCTAACGTTAGAGATTTGTGATGTCACCTCCGCTGCGACAGCTACTGGCTGCTGTAGTCCAAACAGCACCGCATATTTATCATCCGAATAAAGAYGTATCCATGCGCCGTGACGTCACCGCTCCGAGGGTGTGGCTAAAGGGCAACGCTTTAATTTTGCCTGTTAGCTTAAAAATGCAGAGGGTGGGGAAAAACGCAGAAATACGAACTTTTTATTTTTTATATACCAATTCACATCTAACAGTTGTATCTGGAGAAATCACACACAGGCAGCTAACGCAGCCAAAAGCTTTATTTTCTGTTAAATTTCCTGACTAGAGTAATCCTGCCATGTTTACAGGGGCTGAAGTTTGGGGGTCCCTTTGTCCTACGCCACAAATTTTATTCACCCCAGAAAAACATGTTGCATAAACAGAATATAATTACTTTAAAATGGCATCCTGTTTGATAGAGAAAATTTTAAATATTTAAAAATGAAATGTTACTCTTKAAACATCTATTTTGGTAACCTTCATTTGTTTCACCGATACCTTTGAAGGTCACTTAATTTTTAGTAAATATATGCATACTTTACCTGTTTGACTTTCATTGAATCACACAACAGATAAGGGCAAACTTTAAACTACTGCCTGAATTTAGAATTTAGTTCACAACTACATCATTTGCACCTCATGATATTATGCAAAGAGTAAGACACAAATAGAAATCAAAAACTTTATTACAAAAATAAGTTACACTCACCTCCATTTTACAGTATAAAACAATTTATTTGCAGGAATGCAAAAAATATTGTTGGCCACCAACAATAGTTTAAAACTGCTAACATTTTTTTTTCAAAAGGTGGTTGTTATGATTTTATTGAGGGAGTTAACTGTATAGAAAACTGAGATTGAAGAACAGTTTCCTTTACGCTATAAGTACTTGGAAACAAATCATTCACTGCAGTATCCCTCCTACCACTGTGGGACAGTGATCCTTCACCAAATCATGGCAGCTMAAGTTAGGCACACACTTGCTGACTGGAAAATATGGCAATTCAGTCATCCATCAAGGCTCACTTCAAGAATCTAGAGTCGCCGCCTTGTGAAAGGAAGGGATCATCTRTGATTACCATGATCTTACAAGATGGGATTTGATTCTATTCCTTGACATTGTTTTGATGGTGCTTGAAATTGTTTTCATGAATAAAAAACCCACTGGGATAATACAGTGGCAAAAAGGGACACTGCAGGGCTTTATTTTGTGTTTTCTTTCTTTTTTTTTTAAGTCAAAGGCAGTTGGATGCCTGCGACGTTTAATCCTTTACAAAACGTAACATTTTCCGAGAAAACTATACAACCAGTAACTACATATGCTGAAGAAGCAAGGCAGCTAATTCAGTTCAAAATAGGATAAAAGAAGGGCTTGTTTAGACTCATCATATGAGATTGCTTTGCATGCCCAGCTTGACTGTTTGCAGTCTGCAGAGCTGCAGCTAAAAGGAGTATATTACATTAAGTACATCGTTTTTGCGCTGCAGCTCTTGTGCATATTTTGTACGAAAACAAGCCCTGCTTTCATCTATATAGTTTCCCTATTTACAGTACAGGCCGGGTAGTTTAGTCCTCTGTACTGAGGTAGTCAACCAACCCTTTAAAGACAAGTTCTTAAAAGAACCACTTTCCTGGAATGCCTGACTTATCCATGCCAGGTGGGTACACCCTAAAACCCTGCAAATGTTCTATTTCAAACATCCAGATCAAACAATATCATGGATATTCCGACAATAAAATTGCAGTTAGCACAAAAATATACAATAGTATCAAGCTCATTTGAGCCACTTCAAACCTAAGAACTTAAAAAGTGCAATTTCTTCAATAATTTTTTTTTTTTTTAAATGGCATGTTCAGGGACGGGGAAGGGGGAGATTGTAAGGGCAATTCATAAAACCCTGAAAATCAGGGCAACATACGGGGAGCAAGGGCAAAGAGGCTGTGGCAAATATATTCAGAATCCTCTGGTCAATTTTTAAGGTGGCAGTTTCTAAGAACAAAAAAATAAAATTAAAAAGGGAGGGGATGGGGAGACGCTTRTTCTGTAAGGCTGGAATATCATTGGACCTTTTTTGTCACGCTTGTTATTTCAACATCCATTGCAGCTTCTGGTGTAGCCCCACACATCAAGTCAGCATCCACTGTGACAGGTCAGGACCGTCCTCGGCCCCGTTTCCCGGCTGGACGA